TCTTGTGAACAGCATCATTGTCATTTTCTGGTAACTTTAAATTAGTTATGGAAAAATTATTCATATCAATATCATCTTGTAAGGAATCTCCAATTTGATCTACAAAGTAAGGTTTTGCTTTCTTTATCCATGCTGTAGTGTTACGTTTTTTAGTATCTAAAGGTAAAGAACCTAATCCAAACTTGTTCGCCATTTTTATTAAGTTAAATTTATTATAATTTTTTCAAACTGTTTTCCTAAACTCAACTGATATAAAACCCATAGTGAAAGTTGCCGACAAAACTTTTGACCCGGTAATTGAAATTGAAATATTGAACATTTGATTGGTTTATTAGTTAATTTCACTATCTCTTCAGTGGGTTCTAATCCAAAAGAATCGAAGAAATAAAAGTTATTTAAAGAGTCTTTGTATAAAGCAGAGTGATGAACTCCTATTTGATCTGAAGCATGTATATTTGTTATGGCATAAAATTTACCTTTCTTATATTTGAGATTATTTATTTCATCTCTCATACAATAATAAAACGGAGATATATTTAACTCATTTGCCCATCTCATAAGTTGAAAGTTTGTAGTTGTGTCGGTTCCGTATTTATCGAGAAAGATATTCATTTTTAAAAGTCAGTTTTTTGAAGTTCGTTTTGATAGAACCTACCTATGATTTGTTCTTTGTCTTGATCGATTAATTCATATGTTGAAGGTGATGTGCTGTTTACTTTATTTACGATAAATATTTCGTTTGTCCAAAATCCAACGTATCCTTTTTCGAATTTGCTTTTATATTTGAAAATACGAACGCGATCTCCGACTTTAAATTTGGGTTTGATATTTAAATTATTTATTTCATTTTCATAGTTAAGTTGTGCGTTAATTGACTTTATAATATTTGGATTATTTGTGGGTTGTGTTGGTGTGACACCTATAGATGAATGAATTTTGTTATTGTATTCATCTACAACCTCTGGTAATATTTTAAGCCATTTTTGGGATTTCAATTCCGTGAACTTTTTGAATAATTTATTTTTAAGAGTCCTGTTAAATCTTTCTATTACTACAGCTTTACCTTCGTTATGAGTACTGTAAATTTCAAACCCAAGTGATTTCATATTTTTATTATAAAATTCACTTCCTTTATCTACCCATAACTTTTGAGGTCGTCTGTTGGATTGTTTCATTATTGTTTCAAATGCGTATTTGACTGATAAACCTGTTTTGTTTTTGAGAGGAATAACCCAAGTATATCTTGTGTACAAATCTATAACGGTTAAACAGTATTTATATCCTCTTTCATCTGGCATATGAATTAAATCTGCTGACCATATTTCATCTTTATCAAACACTTTAACTTTTAAAAAATGTTTGTTTTTTCTAAATTCTTTGTGTATTTCATCTGCTATTCCCATACCCATTTTCATCTTTGCTTTCAAGAGTTTAATGATTAATGCTCTTTGAATTCTCTCTTTGAAAGTTGGATTTGGAATATTTTCAAGTTCGATTATCATTTGTTTGTCTGCTTCGTGTCTGGATGTTATGTCTTTATTTCTGTATAGTATATCGTGTTTGAGCGCTGCTGCGTCAACTCTATTGACTGGTTCTTCACCTGGTTTGGGTTTATCGTTTTGGTCTAAACGCAGATCTAACCTTGTACCTGGACCAGTGTAATTATGACCTGGAAGATGTTTTTCTCCAGAATATTTTGCCCATGGAAATCCGGGAAGAGAACCTAATGATTTTTATACGCCCACACGTAAGATGGGCGTATATTGTAATCACCCCGTCGGTCCGTCCATTCACATTTGGCTCGTGCTCACTCTACAGACTACAATTTTTTACAGATTCTTTTGATTTTT